GTGCGGCAGCCCACGACGGGCGGGCGATCCCTTGACGGGCGGGTCGGGCGGGTGGGACGTTCAAGCGGGATGCCTGAGTATGGCGAGACCGCGATTACTAAGCAAATTGTAACGGCGTCCTTGGCGCAGCGTGTTTTCTGAGCGTCGAAAGCGCGATTTCTGAATAAATTGCATGAAAATCACACGCGAGAGCGCAATTCCTGAATAAAATGTGAGGGGCTCTCTGGCGGAAGCGGGTGTCTTGATTGAATTGCGACGAAGTCTTGACTCAATTGCGAGGAAGTCTCAAGCGGGAGCGCCGTTCCTGAGTAAACTGTGAGGTCTCAGATGGGAGCGCGGGCCCTAACTAAATTTTGAGGAACTCACAGGCGGGAGCACCCATCCTAAGTAAATTGTGAAGAAATCTCAGGAGCGGGGGTCCTGAGCAAATTTGGAGGAAGTCTCAGGCGGGAGACGTTGTTGTTGTAATCCGGGGTGCCGGGGGCCCAGTTTGAGCACCAGGACTTTCCCTGTCAAAAAACAGGGTGCGAGCGTCGAGGGGCACACTTTGAGTGAGAAGAAGCAGCATGCACTGGTGAGGGGGGATCGACAATAGTTATTCTTCTGAAATGAGAATTCAACAACAGCAACAACAACAACAACAGCAGCAACAACAACAACAACAAGAACAAGAACAACAACAACAACAACAACAACAACAACAGCAGCAGCAGCAGCAGCAACAACAACAACAACAACAACAACAACAACAATGTTAAGACCATCCGCCCTTATATGCTCGAATGACCAATAACAAATATTTCCCAAACCCTCGATACCCGCCCTCTTCATCTTCGATCGAACCCCTTTTCGGGGGTATACCTTTCTTCCCTGCAGGCCGGGCCCCGGCAAGCGGCGGCGCGGCCGCGGACCGTCGGCCTGGCCAGCGGCAGCGCTGATCGGCGGGGCGGCCGCGGACCGTCGACCCGACCCCAACAGGGACGGACAAGGGACCGACGACGACGACGACGACGACGACGACGACGACGACGACGACGACGACGACGACGTCGAAGACGACGACGACGACGGCGACGACGGCGAGGACGAGCGAAAGCGAGAGCGAGAGAGAAAGACAGCTGGGCCACGAAGGGCACGAAGTTGGCCACGAAGGGCAACAGCGGGGACACGAAGGGAATGCGTATGGGGCCACGAAGAGCGCGAACGAGAGGGGGCCACGAAGTGCAGATAATGCGGGGCCACAGAAGGCAACTATGGGGCCACTGAAGGTAGCAACTGGGCCACGTAGGACCGTAGGACAATGACGGGCGCGACTCCTGGGTGCCTGGGTGTCGAGGGCGCGGCGCTTGGGCAAATTGCAGGAGATTCCAACGCGAGGCCATTCTTCAGTAAGTTGCAAGGAAGTCTCCAGCGAGAGCGCGACTTCAGAACGCCGGGAGAGCGATTCCTGAATAAATTGCAAGGAAATCCCCAGCGAGAGCGCGATTCCGGAATAAAATGCGAAGAAGTTTCGGGCGGGAGCGGGGGTCCTGTCTAAATTGTAGGGAAGTCTCAAGCGGGAGCCGTTGTTGTTGTAACCCAGGGGCCAAGGGGCCAGTTTGAGCAGGAAGATCCTCCCTGTCAAAAACAAGGTGCGAGCGTCGAGGGGCACACTTTGATTTAGAAAGAACAGTATGCACCGGTGGGGGGGGATCAACAATAATTATTCTTCAGAAGTGAGAATTCAAGGTCGAGGCGGCCATGAGGGACGCGTCCCGCGCGCTCGTTGTAACCGCCTCGTCCTCGTACTCAAGGCGGATCACAAGGACACGTGGCTAGCAACCCCCACCAGCAGCCTAGCAACCGAGCAACCCAACGAAAACAAAAATCAAAAAACAAAAAATGTCTTCCTTATGTTCCCCCGACGAAACCCCAAGCGGATTCCGATGTTTGCTCCGGCGAGGCTCCGGAACGGGGGCCCTATAGGATCCCGATGGAAACACCTCATGGCCTATAGGATCCCTATAGGGCCCCTACGGAAATCCTGCAGGGCCTGTAGGATCCCTACAGGGTCCCTCTAGGATCCCTCTCGATTCCGCTCAGGACCCCTATGGAGACCCTATAGAAATCCCTATGGTGTACCTTTAGGAACCCTATATAGACCGTATAGAGATCCCTATAGGGTCCCTGTAAGAACCCTATACACACCCTATAGAGATCCCCCGAACCCCATAGAGACCCTATAAAGATCACTATAGGGTCCCGAGAAGGTCCTTTAGAAACCCTATAGAGACCCTATATAGAGATCCCTATAGGACCCCTATAGAGACCCTATATAGGTCCTGCAGGGCCTGTAAGGTCCTTATAAAATCCCTACAGAAACTGGCCTGCAAGGTACCTTTTGAATCCCTATGGAAACCCTGCAGGGTCTATAAAATCCCTATAGGATCCCTATGGATACCCTGCAGGGCGTATAGGACCCCTATAGGGCATCCATATGATCCATCTAGGGTCCCTATAGACACCCGATGGAGACCCTGCAGGGCCTATAGAGATCCCTATAGGAATCCTTTTAAGAACCCTACCAAAACCCTATAAAGAAACCGGTGTTTTCAAGTCCGCCCCCCCCCCCCAAGGATTCGCACGGCTCCTCAAGATTCTTCACGGCCCCCACGGTTCCTCTGGTTTCCTAAAAATTCCTGAATCCCACTGATGTTTCCTCCGGTTTCCTCCAGATCCCTGAGTCGACCCAGGAATTCGCATGGTTCCTCGGGACTCCTGTCTGAGATCCGATACAAATCCCATACTGCCAGTATGGGATCCAATACAGATCCTATGGAGCATGTACGGGATCCCACACAAATCCCACACAGTCTGTATGGGATCCCATACAGATCCCATACGGCCTGTATGGCATCCCACGCAGATCGCATACGCCCTATATGGGATCCCACACAGATCCCGTACGGCTTGTATGGGAGCCCACACAGATCCCGTACGCCCTGTATGGGATCCGATGCAAGTCCCATGCGCCCTGTATGGGATCCCACAAGAATCCCATACGGCCTCTACCCCATACACATCCCAGTCGGCATGTCCAGGATCCGAAACAAATCCCATCCGGCCTGTATGGGATCCCGCACGGATCCCATACGGCCTGTATGGAGCCCGATACAGATCACATACGGCATGTATGGCATCCCACGCAGATCCCATACGCCCTGTATGGGATCCCAAACTGATCCCGTATGGCCTGTATGGGAGCCCACACAGATCCCGTACGCGCTGTATGTGATACGATGCAAGTCCCATGCGCCCTGTATGGGATCCCACACAGATCCCCAACGGCTTGCACTTGTATGGGATCCCACACAAATCCCATACGGCCTGCATGGGATCCGATACAGATCCCACACGGCATCTATGGGATCCAACACAGAACCCAAAATGCCACTAAGGGATCCCACACAGATCCCATACAGCCTGTACGAAATCTGATACAGATCCCATACGGCCTGTATGAGATCCCACACAGATCCCAGATGGACTGTATGGGACCCGATACAGATCGCATACGGCCTGTATGGGAAACGATACACCTCCTGTGCGGCCAATATGGGATCCCGCACAAATCCCACACGGCCTGTATCAGATCCCGCACAGATCCCAAACGACCTGCGTGGGATCCGTTGCTGATCCCATGCGGCGCGTATGGGATCAGATACAGATCCCATGCGGCCTGCTTGGGAGCCCACACATATCCCATACGGCCTGTATGGGATCCGATACAGATCCCATACGGCCTGTATGGGATCCGATACAGATCCCCAACGGCCTGTATGGGATCCCATACAGATCCTACACGGCCTGTCTGGGACCCGATGAAAATCCCATACGGCCTGTACAGGATCAATACAATTCCCATTTTGCATGTACGGGATCCCATACAGATCCCATACGGCCTGTATTGGATCTCACGCAGACCCCATACGGCCTGTATGGGCTCCCGCTGGGCCCCATGTAGGGTTGTGTACAGCTCTGGTAGGACCCCATAGAGAGATGTGTACT